ATTCTTCCACTTGGCGTGAGCACTGCGACGAAGAAGGGCACAACATCATTATTTGCTTTTCAGGAGACCGTAAAAAGGGAGGCAAAGAAACAGGGGAGGCGTCGTCCCAAACCGGATGTGATGGCACCGCCACCCCCATTGAGCCAGCGCCGGATACTCCATTGATTATTGCCGCCAGGACAGGGATCAAGGAGATTGTGGCCGAGATTATCAAAGTGTATCCTCAAGCACTGGAGCATGTTACCAGGCGTGGACAGAATATTCTCCACGTTGCCATTCTACACCGTAACGACCACATCCTTGATCTCATCAAATCGAAGAGGATACTCGAGGAAGTGGTGTTCGAGGAAGTGGTGAAGCGGAGGCTGGTTTTGGGGATCGACGATGACGGTGACACCATTCTGCACAAAGCCGCCTGTACAAAACACTACAGCGGAGGAACCACATCGACTGCGGCTCTGAAACTGCAAGAGGAGCTGAGATGGTTCAGAGTAAGCCTTGATCAATTGTTTCTCTAAATTCATTAACTAACATTTAGGTTCTCTTTGGTTTTTAGAGTCTATTCGGTTTTATAGAGAGTTTAACAGAAGTGGGGGAGTTGAGAGGGAGAAGGAAAGACTATTTCAATTTTTAAAAAGAATTTAGTAAAGTAGAAACCATTAATTAAAAAACTCTCATTTGGGTTTGAAACTAGTAATTTAATCTTCTATGATGCTAGTAAAAATTTATCATTCTACTAACATTATTTAAAAAAAATTGATTGGTGAAAATAATATTACTTCAGTTCCTTTAAATCAAATAAACTTTTAACAATTGAATTAAATATTTATTCAAGAATTGTGAATTCTTCTTGTGATTTCGCAGAAGGTGGAAAAAATGGTTCCTCCACATTACACAATCCATCTCAACAAGGAGAAACGTACGGCGGAACAACTTTTAAAAGACCAGCACAAAGAACAACTGAAAGAGGCCCAAGAATGGGTCAAGAACACTTCTCAGTCAAGCTCCACCGTGGCTATCCTAGTCGCCACGCTTCTCTTCGCTGCCGCCTTCGCCGTCCCAGGTGGTTTCATAGGTAATTAACTAAACTTTTTTTCTTCTACTCACAAAAGAAAAAAAAGATCTAATTTGTCATTAACAAGCTGCCATATCAAAAAATTTTTTTTTCTTTGATTTGTTTTAAGGATATGGCGACGCAAAAGACGCAGCGGCAAATGCACCTGCCCCAGCGGTAGATGTACATTCCGGAACGGCAGTCCTTGCGGACAAGCCTCTGTACTCTTTTTTCAGTGTGATGGACGTGGCGGGACTGGCGAGCTCATTAACGTCGGTGGTGCTCTTCCTTTCAGTGCTCACATCATCACTTGATCTGGAAGAATTTCACTATCAAATACCCTCGAAACTGTCGGCTGGCTTCCTCTTTCTGTCCTTTGCCATTGCAACCACTATGTTTTCCTTCACAGCTGCAACTCTCCTCACCTTTCGTTTGCCGTCGGCATGGACTACGTCTCTGACCTACGCCGCTGCGTTCATTCCAGTCAGCATCTATGGGCTTGTGCAGTTCGGTTTGTATTTCGCATACCTCAAGAGTGCTTTAACCGGCATTTTTAGGTTCGAGGAGAAGCCTCTTCCTGAGTAATAACTTCGCATATTTTTAAGCTTAAAATATCAATCTAGTTACTTGACTTTTAAATTTGTACTAAACCTCTTAAATTTTAAAATATTAAAATTATCTTTAAATTTTATTGTTATTATTTTTATTAATTTCATTCTCCGTTAGTTTATTGATGATATAGCAGATTTTTCCATTATCTAATTTAATTTTTAAAATTTTAAGTGTGAAGTGGATATTTAGATGCGGATGTGGATAGTTTTTGTGAGGGCTTAAAATGAATATCAATTAATTAATCTTAAATGACCTATTTATTATTAAGTTTAATTAATTAATAATTTATAATATTTAAAATGACAAAACTACCCATCCATTCATCTTCATGCCCAATTCTCTTTTGTTCTTCGATTCCATTCTTCTTCCTTTCTTCCCCTTCTCTATCCCATTCTCCTCCATTACTGGCAAACCCGTCTTCCCTTCTTCTTCTCCGGCATTGGTGATCTTCCTTTCATCTGTGACTTCTTCGTCCCTTCATTGCCCCTCGATCTCTCTTTGGTTCAAGCTTTTCTACCCTAGCTCTTCCCTTTAATAAAACCCAGTAACCAACTCTATTCTTGATCTGGCTTTCACTACATTTTGGCATCCTCTCACTCCTGCCCCTTTCTTTCTCTACAGCCATTGGGGCTAAGCCTTCCTCTCCACTCGTGCCTCATTCCCTTCCGATTGAACCATATAAAACCCAATGGTCTCGATCTAGGTTTGGCAATAGTGGAATAGTTGCGCACCTTGTCGGAAGTGAAATCCAGATCTGACACGGGGGGGATCAGTGCGACGAGGATCCGGGGTTGTCATCATCCTCAGACATTTGATGGGCGCAGTCGTGATGCATGAGAGAGAGAAACTTCCCTCCCCAACCTTTCCACGCACAGCCTCTGATCTGATGAACCCTTTTCAAGCTTTCAACTTTCGTAATGATGAGATTGAAATTTCAGATCCAAAATCATGGGTAGGGGAAAACGAATAGAAAATTATCGAAGGTTTTTTTCTGTTTGGTGAGAGAGAAAGTGGAGGATGGAGGGATGGGATTCTAGTATGGGAGAGAGAATGGAGGTAAGCTTAGTTTAAATGGTAACAATGGGAGAGTGAACAGTGGGCAGTGGTGGTTGCTGTCTCTCTGAGCACTGGGATTCTCATCTCCATTTCTACACCTGCAGATTGAAGGGAAAAAAACTATGAATCACAAACAAAAGTGCGAATATTTGGGCTTCTCAACTCAAATTTGATGTATTATGACCTTGACATGAACTAACCCCAATCTTCAAATTTGGAAGAGGAAGATCGATAATTTTTGCAGAAGATATGCTTATTTTTGTTTATGTTAAGAGGGTCCGTAGCTAGATTTAAATCGAAAAGAAAGAGAAGGGGATGATTTAGGGGCTAGGAGAATCTATGGTGTTGAGAAGTGCAATGGCAATATGCTTTCAAGTTTAGGGTTTGCAGAGGCAGGGGAATAGAAAGTGAGAGAGCGAGTGGATGAAAAAGGACGAAGAGGATCGGTTTCCTTTTATTTTATTTTTAGGAGGTAATATAGCAACAATTTTTTTTATTACTTTTTATACAAGTTTTAGATATTATTAAATAAATAATATATTTAATATTATAAATTTTAAATAAAAAAATAATTAATTATTTATATAATATATAAAATTTTATTAATAAATAATATAAACAATTATTCTTAAATTACTTTTCTTTATTTTATTTGATGTGGGTAGAAAAATACTATCGACTCATTTAGAAGCCATGTCCCCTTTTCCACGTCATCGTTTAACAAAAAAAAAAAGATTAATTTTCTGATAAGTTAACCCAATAACCGTCGAGAGGTCCGCGTGGGCCGCAAACACTTAACCATTAATTAAAAGGTATTTTATTTTGGGTGTGGTTTAATCTTTATCACTTTTTGTATTCTTTTACTGTAACCGTAGCTAATGGTGGTTTGTATTTTATCTAGATTCAATACTTTCAGTTAATAATTTTAATTTTACTAATTTTTAATCATTATCTTTGTCAAAAAAAACCCAATAACCGTTACTTTCGCCCACAGACAGATAAAATTAGTGCGGTAAATAAAAATTTAAGAATAATTTTAATATTTTTAAAATT